TGTATTTTACAATGTTTTAAGACTCTTACGCCTCTTCTCTTTACAAAATCCAATCTTAACCTTGACCGGTTTTCCATAATAGGGTAGATGACTAATTCTTATTGGAATGTTGGTCTGGTAAAAAAATACGTGTCTAATATTTATAAACATTAGACACGTATTTTTTATTTTCTTACGGAAACGAATAGTTTTGAAGATATATTGATATAAATATCTCATGATGTCACTTTTGAGTACGATTTATACTCTAAAATGACGTAGCTACCTCCGACTCCTAAACTTTGATTCGTTTTATCTAATAATTGTTTTCTTATACGATAAAATAAAAAAAATACGTGTCTAATATTTTTTCATTACCTAACTTACGGACTAATTAGATTTTTAATTTTTATACCCTGTCATCATCCCTGTTCCAACCCTTTACAGATTTGGAGATCGCAGTAGGTAAGGTCGCTAAAAGTCAAAAGGACGCTTGTCTACCTCACGGTGCGTGGCTTGATGAATATTAGATCCAAAATATTTCTATTTTTACAGAATAAAAATAAGTTATGGTCAATTTAAAATCAAATCCAAAAAAAGGTATTTGTTAAAAAATATAATTTAATAATAAACACTAAATCAACAATGGCAATTCAGTTAATAGAGAAATTATTTATACTAAGTCGCCATATCTTTTGAAGATATCAGCTTTAATTACATATTTATAAGTTTAATGTTGTTTCTAATAGCAAAAACGACTTTAGTTCTAGTAATAGAAAAGTTTCACTCATATTTTCGATGTCAGTAGAGGGCGCTTGTGTAGAATTTGGAATGTACTTTGAAATATTTGTATACGTTTTGTAGCTGTTACTTATTTTATTAACTACTATAAATCATACTTGATAAAGTTCAAAATCAGTTGATGTATCTGTAAATTAAGTTGTTTTTGCTAGTAAAATCAACTTACATTTAATTTAATGTCCAAACTTGTACTGTTTGATTGTAATTTTAATCTAATTTAGCACAAAATATATTCTATGGCACATTATTTGTCCAAATTTTTTACATTTTGTTATAAAATAAAATTCTTTTACAAAAATTATCTACTATTTTTGCATATTGAAATAAATTCAGAAACATCCAATAAATTGCTAATATTCTTTCGTAATTATTTGACTCAGAGTGAAAAATACAGAAAAATATTTTGCTATGACAATGTTATATTTTCTATTTTATTTCTCATTAAATTATCGACCTACAATTTTCTTCTTAATCCAAATAAATTTTGTACCCTGTACATAAATACAATCCAAACTATTAAAATTACATTAAAACTTTACCTTATTCAGTTATTTTATATTTAAAGCATTTACATTTATATAAAACTATATTAGTACCTACCTAACATTTTACATACTCATTTATAATACATACATACGAAAATAGGAAAGGTATTTAAACCGAAACATCTGATTCATCTCTATCACCAAGATCTTTCAGACAAGGTGATAGGCGACATCAATATGTTTAAATATTCAATATTAAAAAACGAACTGCACTCGTTTGCCTCCACAAATATGATCCTTTTTTGTATGGCAAAGTCTAAACTTTCGTTTGCTGAACACTACAATTATACATTCTACACTAAGTGCAGAAATGGATTTATTTAATGAGTCTAACCAGTCAACCATCGAATGGTACAGAATGACAGAAGAACCTTAATTACTAAAAGCATATTCTTCATCGAAAATGTCTGCAAAAATGCCTTTCTGCCCTCGTGAGCTAAGTGCTTCAATCAGAAGACATTTTAATTTAAGTCAGTAGGTACATCCAAAATACATCCAGAAAATGTCTTCTGGGACTTAAATTTTCTAACTCCCGTTTCAAGACCAAAATATCTTGAACTAACTCTTCAACAGAATCCAGGGTTGGTATGCTCAATAACACATCGCTTGCAATATTTTTTCACCGCTCTGTACCCTCGTAACGTCACTGGTGTGTCCTGGATGTTCAATTGGGTCAGCCCTCTGCAGTAATAGGCAACGGCTTCTAAACCATCGTCTCCGATCAGCTCGCAACCTCGTAAGGCCAGCTTTTTGAGGTTTGGGCAACATCGTGCTAGGATCTGGTAGAGAAGAAAACGTTTTTAGATTAGCAAAAACCTCCATATTATAAGAGCTTCACTGACGTACATCATACACTGAATTCTGGACAAATTTAATAACCGCAAAATAATTTTATCACTACCTTTTCAGCAATATAGGCCTGCTCCCAGAATAGACACGTATCAAATATAGGCCTGCTGCGAGAATAGACACGTATCAAATATAAGCCTGCTGCGAGAACAGACACGTTTCAAGTATAGGCCTGCTACGAGAATGGACACGTATCAAATATTTACCTGTAACCCAGCCTCGGAGACATCGGTAGCGCCTAGATCGAGGGCTCTAAGCCTAGAACAACCTCTGGCTATGGCTTCCACACCGTCGTCTCCAAGTGCGCCACATCCTCGAGCATTTAGGTAGCGGAGCTTGTAACACCTCCGTGCTAAGGTTCTGACACCTGAGTCTGAGACCTGCGAAAGAAAGAAACGAGGTTTTTAAAGTCTAATAATTATTATTATATCTCGTATTAGTTATTATGACATTACACACTACCGTTTCAGTCATAGATCACCAGTAGGTGAAAAAAACCCACTGCCTCAAGTAAATACAATTTTTTGTATGGTTCAGACATTGTTGTTCCTGGTTTATGCGTGATGAGTACGTGAAAGTGGAAACAGGAGACAGCTGTGTTCAATATTTAAAATTATTAATTTATTTTCTGCCCTCCTTCCCCTCTATGTGAAGCTTTTACAAAGACAACAAAACAGAAATTAATTAAAAACTTTTCAAAGTGAGTTTCTAGAGAAATACCTCAAGAATGTTTGATGAAAGAAGCACTAGAGATTCAACTTTTCAATTACTTAGGTGCAACGACAATCTCTAGGTCTTTTTCTTAGAGGCAAGTAATTAAAAACTATTATTACGCAGTTCAGAACTTCCTAGAGATACCGTTACTTCATCAAATATTTAATTAATAGTTTATTTCTCTTATCGCCGAGTGGTCGCAAGTGCGACTGCCGGGCA